GATAATGAAACGGAGACTAACTAACCGACCTCTTTGTCCTCTCCTAGCCTCCTCTTATGTAGCCAGCGTTGCCTCCTGAGCAACGCCGTAGATGCAGAGTCCACAGGCGCCCAGCTAGCGCCGTAAACAGGAATCCAGTATGTTCGATGCAGCTTTTGTCGAGTCCGTGTCGGAGTTCAATGCCTTCATGCCGACGCGTGCAGCGTCGGCGTGTCTTCATCCAGTTACATCCACGGAGGTTGCGAGACGCAGCGCGTCACTACTCGTCGAGATCATTACCATGATCAACCACAGCGACAGTAGCTTGACTCAACAGTAGCTGACGCCCAACACTGCGCTCTTCATCAGCTAAACCTCCAACTAAACCGATTCGAAAGAGCTCACGTACGAATTTCGATCCAAGTTGGTTTGAAGCCGCCCTCTACTCACTCCAACACCGTCGTATCTCCAGGAACCTGCATATAAAGACATAATACAGGTTTTCGGTGAGCCCAGCGAATTGAATATTTTCGGAAGAATGCCGGCGCTCGTACGAAGCGTTGCTCTTCTTTGATCTGGGATAAGGTTGCGCTGAATCATGAAGACGCAAGGGTGTTCACCGTCATTTCAAAGCTCTACATGACGCTTCTAATGTGCATTGCAGAATCAACAAGTGGGGATGGCGCTGCCGATGCCTCGCTTCAGTTGTTTGGTTTGTTGTTGGGAGGTACACCTGTTGTGGCCGCGGCTGCTGATGATATGGTATGGATGATGGACATACATATAAAAAAATTGCTTTGTGTTGACAGAATCGATCCGGGGAATATATTCAGTAATTCACGATCATTGGCACACACTAGACATGGGTCTTTTGCTAGTGAGCATTGGCATTGCCGGCATCGTACATATCGCAGAATACTGAAATTCTAGTGAATGCCTTTTAAGACGTCATAGATAATACGTTGTGATTTTTGCGAGGTAAAATTTTTTCTAAAGATTTTGTTGATGCTCCAGTAGTATTTTTCAGATGTGACCGTCAACGATGAACACGGTGTTGTTAATAAGACGGATATTTACTCCAGAGTGAAACCGGTATGCAGGGTAAATTGCCAGTTTTGTAGCCTCAGGAAGGGCATGAACAAAAATGTGCATCACTTAAAGAGTATTTATCAGATTGTGGTGCGACTTGAGTCAATACGAAGAGGAAGTACTGCGTGAATTTTGTGACGTTCTAGGCGCCGATTACTACAATTTTGAGATACAAGTGTTGGGGTCGCCCACTCCCGCGGGCGATAGGACATAGTTCCCCACAACCAGTTCCGCTCGCTTCGCAGCTCGCTGCACTACTCGCCAGTGCCGCTTTCGCTGCGCTCGGCAGCTGGATGGAGTCTTCGGAGCTGATAAACTGTAAACGAAGAGTAAAATGTAAAGCTACCATGTATTTATGCAATTAGAAAGCTTTTTTGCTGCTAGAAGACCTTGGCGTACGGTGAAGATTTCGCGGTAAACGATGTTTTTGGTGCTCATCGCATCATCCTCAAAGGTGGAGTCGTCCACCATGACCGTAAATCCCTTTCTCGACGTCGCGCGTGACAATGCCACTTACAATTGGCCGTGGGAGAACACGGGTCCTTGCAAGCAAATACCTACTTAGTTGAACGACTGACCTTGAGCTCGGTTGATCGTCATTGCGAACGCTGGAAATACTGGAAACCGCTTGCGTCGAAGCTGGGAACACGAAGTCCTTGTCGTCGTCGCTGATGAAGATGAAATTTAGCGAGCGCAAGAGTTCCGGCTTGAACAACATGTTGTCTGATCCTTCCATTATATCGACGGAAAGACGTTCTAGTGTCTCTCCTGAAAGGCGATCCGCCACCATCTCGTTCAGGCGCCAAATGTTCTCGTTTGTTGGTGCGAGAATGACTCTTTCCGCGAAATACTCGTCGGTCACATTCGCCCCACCCACACCAGGGTACACCGCGTCTATGAGCGTGTTCAGATTTTGCTCGTAGTAGTCGTGGACGACTAGACCTTCGACTCCTTCTTGATCCGGTGGGAGGAGGGCAAAGTTGGGAAAGTCTTCTTCTTCAATGTCTTCCTGCTCCAGTTAATCCGGAATGAGACGCATATCCCGCGGTAAACTGATATCGCCCTCGTCATTGTCGCGGTTCACAGTAAATCGTCCCTCACCAA